GCAGCGTCGCCCACAGCTCGCCGGGCACGCGTGCCAGCGCGGACGTGTGTGCGAGTGGCGGTGCGGACGTGTGTGCGAGTGGCGGTGCGGACGTGTGTGCAAGGGATAGTGCGGATGTGTGTAAGACGGCGCGCGAGGTGAGGATGCGCGCGAGGAGCGCGAGCAGGAGGAGCAGCGCGTGGAGCGTGCGTGTACGCAGGGCGAGGCGCGGGTGCGGGTGCTGCGGGAGCGGGAGGAGCGGGAGGACGAGGAGGATGTGTATCGCGAGGAGGATGGGGAGGAAGAGCCCGTGTGTGAGCGCGGGGGGGAGGAGCATTGTGAGGAGGGTGGAGAGGAGGACGGGGAGGTAGGTCGTTGGGGGGAGCGGGAGGCGGCGGGTGGGGATGGTGGCTGCGGTGGGACGCTTGGATGGGGATTTGGGTGTGGAGGGCGAGGGGGAGAGTTTGGGGCGCGGGAAGAGGAGGAGCGCTAAGTAGAAGAGGCAGGATGCGACGGAGATGGCGACGAGCTGGCCGAGGAGCATGTAAGCCCATAGGTGCTTGATGCGATGCGTGCGCCCTGTTATTGCACCCTGTGAGCTTCCGGAACCAAAAGACGCGGGTCAGAGTGTGTAAAGGGGCGCACCGTATGTCGCGAGCAGGATGGTCCACGTTCCCGCGGTGAAGAGACATATCTGCTCGCTCCACCACCAGTTCAGCGGCGTACGTGCGACGGCAGTCCAAGCTTGCTCGAAGAGGGCAGTATGCGATAGCCACTGTGCGATGCGCGTGGCTATTGGGATTGCGCGCAAGGCGGCGTCGGTCTGCCCGGAGTAGGCAGAGCGTTCGAAGTCGGCAAATGACCACTAGACGAACTTTAGTGATGTGGGCAATGAGACAATGTAGATATCTCACCTGTAGGAATGCCAACATGTCTGCACACCCGAAGTGTTCCAGTCAGTTCCCTAGCGCGCAAGTAGTTCGAGACAGGAGGGCTCACAGTACCATGTATGCAAGAACGAGGCAACAGTAAGCACCGCAAACGTGTAAACTCGAAAAGACGAGACATTCGGTGGGATGCGGCGGGGAAATGACCGCAAGATGAGGACGAAGAGCGCGATGATGCTGAAGAAGTATGACGCGAAGATGGAGAGAGCGACGGGGTGAGATAGCGCCATGGTTATGGCCTTCTGCTACAGAGATCGCGTTCTTTTTTTGGAAATTGTTGCTTACACGCTACGCCACCTGGCCGTGGAGAATGTTAGAGGAGGGTGGAGGAGGACCACGTACGACGCGTCGGTGTGGCAATTGCAAAGGACTCGGAGGCGACGCGGGAGTATTTTGTGGCGCCGTTGATTCGGAGTAAGCGTGCGAACCCAATAGACGCCCGCTCAGGCCGCCTGGCGCTTACCGCGTTGCTCCCAGATACTTGCCTTTGTGCTCCTTCCGCGACAGTCGCGACTTGCTTCACCACCTCCGCGCGCCGCAATATACCCGAATGCCGGCCATAGCGACCGGCGGCATAGACGATGCATCTGGAGTACAGGAGAGCTTCAAGCAACGACTGCGCGCTCTCGAGAACCAGGTATGTCCCGCCGCTGATGCCACAGACTACGGGCGCGATCCTCTAACGCAGTCCCATTCCCGTAGCTTGTAACCCTACGCTCCACGAACCGCACCCTCGAACAGCGCGCGTTTGACGCGCTCCAGCGCGGACAGCAGCTCGCACATGCGCTTGGGTTCGACCACATCGAGCAAGCGGAGCGCGTCGTTGCGGACGACCCGACCACTTGGAATCGCGCGACGGTGGATTATTGGAAAGTGCGAGTCAGAAACCTGGAGAAGGAGGTGAAGGGACTTAAGGAGGAGGCTGAGAAGGAGAAGAGGGCGGGGAAGGTAAGGGCGGATGAGCTCGAGAGTGCGAAGGAGGAGAATGATAGGCTCAGGAAGGAGTTGGAGAGGCTGAGAGGTGAGTCGTCAGTCTGTGTGTGAGGATACGAAATGTCACGTCGCGACGCGTCCGGACTCTTGTCTGCTGGGGCGCTGAACCTGAGCAGACAAGGTAAAACGCGTCTTCCTTGTTGACACGCCTGGTGCATGCGCCCTGCGACCGCATGCAGCGCAGGATGGAATACCTTGACGCACATCGCGCGTACTCCACGTTATGCTCGCGTCATATGCACACGGCATGCGCTTGAACGAGCGGCCTTTCTTCCTATCTCCCCGCGGCGTTCGTATCCAATATATTAACCCCATTACTTCCCAGCCTCCACACATACCTCTACCTCATCCGATCCCGCCGGTCCATCGTGAGTCCTCTCCCATTCATCATTCCCTAACACCCATCCTCACCCAACTTACCTCGTCTTCCCTACCCTCCAGCACCACCAGCACCAGCACCTCCACCATCCAAACTCAGCTCACAGATCTCCAATCCCGCTACGACGCTCTCGTCTCCACACACAAAGCCGCCACCTCCAAATACACCACGGACCTACGCAAATGGCGCCGCTTCAAGAAGTGGATCTTCGAGAAGCACCAGGACGACAAGGTCTGCAGCATGCTGCGCGCCATCGATGGCGAGAAGTCTACGACCAAGAAGCCGCCCTCGTCGTCGAAGGAAGGTACGTCTCCCTACCCGCGCTTGCGCATACATTAGCGAAATGCTGAAGGAATTGCAGTGGCCACGCCGGCGCCGGCCGCCGCGTCAAAGAAGGCAAAGGAGCTTGCGACGCCGATGCCTCCTCCGGCGCCGTTCGCGGCGCTCCCGACGCCCTCGACGGCCCCGCGGACCCCGCGCAAAACGCGCCCGCCGCCTGCGCTTGCGTCTAGCAGTCCGGTTAGGGAGAATCGGACGCCGTTGGGGAAGAATATCGTCAATGAGACGAGGTACGTGTGTTGAGTGCTGTTTAGGTGTGTTTTACGGTGTGGGCTGATTGGGAATTGAAGATCTGCGTCGGTGACGCCGTCGAAGCGCAAAGGCGAGCGGTGTGTATTGTCCCTGGGTTCTCTGTGTGAAGGAGCTGATTATATGAATCGTGGATCTAGGCTTAGATCGGTCTCGATGTCGCCGTCAAAGCGCCAACGCGCTCAAGAGGGCGACGGCCATGCGCGGTGCGTGCTTTTTTTACTTTTTACAGAGTAATGCGACTTGACGCGCCGTCGTGTACCGGTAGATCTGTCTCCGCGTCGCCGTCAAAGCGTCGACGCATCCGTGAGGAGATCGACCAGGAGGACCAGCAGTGCGGTTCCTCTCTACCACGCTCGTCATGGGCATACTGACGATAATTTCAGGTCGGCCTCCGTGTCCCCGTCGAAGCGCAAGCGCGGACAGGAGACACGGTACGCTTTTCGTGCCTTTGGTTGCGGTATGGCGCTGATTTTTCCGCTGCGACCAGATCACCGTTCACGTCCCCTTCGAAACGGGCACGCAATGGCAGCAGGTACGTCGACACGTCTCCACGGCGCATATATGCGGCTTCCAACTCATCTTCTCCGTCTAACAGCTCGCTCCCGGGAACACCATCCAAACGCGCACCCAAGGAGCACGAATCAGCAGTCGCAAACGAGGAGGAGGAGTCGCAGACGCAGGACGATCCACAAGGCGCGTGTCCTCTTTCCTTTCCCTTCGTGTTTTCTCTCTCCTTTCCCATCGTGTTTCCTCTCTCCCTTCGCATATCTCCCTCTGCCCATCAATTCACAAAAACTGACCTTACATGAGAATATAGCTCTGGCATTCTGGTCCGGCCTCGCGCCCGCCCAGCCCCTCCGCGTCCCAGCACATGCCCCTGTCCCAGCACCTGACAAACGCATCGACGGCGGGGTGGTTGACATTGATGTGGACGTGAAAACAGAGGTAAAGGACGAGCCGCTCGAGTTGGGCGTGCCGAGTCCAAGATCGGTGAAACAGGCCAGGGCGAAGGCGAAGAGCGTGTATAAGGTGACGGCTAAGATGAACGGTAATGGTAAAGGGAAAGGAAAGGGCAAGGGTAAATCGCGCGCGAGCGATCCGGGCCCTGGCTCTAGTGCGAGAGCCGCAGCTGCAGCAGGCGACGTCACGTCCGTCCTTCCTCCCTCTGCTTCCTGCACACATACTAACCCCAGCCCCCATTCCCTCCCTCTTCTCCCTTCCACACACTCCTACCCTCCACACATACACACCCACATTCACCCCCTCCATTCAACACGGCACCCACAGCACGATCAACGCGCACTTCGAAATCAACCCCGCCTTGAACGCCGGCCTGCCGTTCCAATTCGACGCCGTCGAGCGCCGGCGCGCATGCCGCGCGCGGCTCGAGGCGGGCGAGTGCGAGTGCTGCCGCGACTACTACGCGGCCGTCGGCCCGCTCCCGCCGCGCCTGCAGGCGCCGCGCTGGCGCTCGCCCTCTCCTTCCGAGGACCACATGCACACCGCTGTCAACGGAGACGGAGGTGCAGGCGTGCGGGAGCACCGCAACGCGGTCTCGCGGCACCGCGCGCAGTGGGCGCGCGGGCGCACGCCGCCGGGGTACTGGGATATAGGCTTCCCGACGACGCAGGAGGCGGCGGGGATCAATGAGCGGGCGAGGGAGATGCAGAGGGGGATGTTTGAGGAGGTTGAGAGGGAGGCGAGGTGAGTTTTTTTTTTGGGAGGGGGGATTTGGTGTGGGTGTGGGTGTTGATGTTTGGCTTGCTTTTGTAGGAAGGAGGGGGGGAGGTATCGCAGAAGGGGGGCGTAGTGTGGTAGTGCGGTAATGTGGTGGGCTTTTGGAGGGTGGACGGATGGATGGACTTTGGCCGAATGAATATACCTAGGCCTGTGAGACGGTCTGCGTGCGGGTTCTGCGGACTATGGTTTTGGTCTTGTTTTTTTGTGATTCGGTTCTTCCATTCGAGTCTTCTGTATGCGCCCGGCGCTTTGGTCTGAAAACAAGAGGCACAGGTCTAAGTACATGGCCGCTAAGGGCTATCATGCCTGCCATTCAAGTAGCCTTTAGGATAGGGTCTCCTCTACAATTACAATACGTCGAAAGATGTCACACGCCGATGGTGAAGCGGTTATCATGCTTGCCTTCCATTTGTATGTGATAGCAAGCGGCAGGGGTTCGACTCCCCTTCGGCGTACTGAAAAATCGATATCCGCGGTTTCTTTTTGAGTATATTCGCGTCCACCTCCTTCATCCTTTGGCGGCCCCCTGTTCGCTGCGACTTCGAGGACAGCGTTCGATTTTTGGAAGTTGGCACCCATATGCACGCGCCGGTTGAAATGAAGATGTCGAGTATAAATCTCGACGGTCCCGACTCCGGACTCCGCGGCGGGTTGTTCGCTCTTGAATGCGGCGTGTACGTAGGCGCCGTCGACGCCTTCGCTGCATGCCACCACGGGCACGCACGGTTTGACTTCGACGAGACGAGGCTTCCAGGTATGTTCACGGTTTACTATAACCGCAGGTCGCGACACTGGCATTGACAGTACTCTCTGTTGTTTGCACGAGATGGCAAGTTGTCAATGCTGCCTACGCCACACGAGCGCCGTCGCGAGCGACGGTGCGCATACAATTGAATTTCCTCAATACTTGTATTGTCGACTTCCATCCATCAACAACCAATGCAACTTAGTTACTTACCTGATGTCACGAACAAAAGGAATAATGGTCGGTTGCTAGACAAAATGGTAGAACGTATCGCGTTTATTGTTGCTCGCCCTTGGGATTGGAGTCCCGATGGCCCAGGTTTCACGAGTACTGTATAAGGGGACGCCTTGCTCGACCTATGACCCCCCATTCCAGTCTCCCCAAAAACAGGTGAGCGTGCTTCAACTTCTGCTTCTGTCATCCGCGCTCAATATACGTTAACTGGACGTCTAGGAAAGGTGGACTGGGACTCTGAGTTCATACCACTGGCCCAGGATCTCAAGTGCTTCATGGCTTCTCCAAGAGAACGCGGGCTCATCATCGCCCGTCAACAGATAGACACGGAGATCGACAGTGCCGTGGACACCATAAACCAGCTGCTCATCACGCGCAACGAGCAATCGCTCATCAACGCGATGCTTCCGCCTGAGATCCTTGGGCTCATATTCATCCACGCTGCCACTGACGGACCAGTTTCAGCCTCTAAACCCGACAGGTGGCTCCACATCACGCAGGTGTGCGTCAAATGGAGGGATATAGCTCACAAGCTGACTCCTCGTCTCTGGTCGACCATCTGGGCTGCCGACACGCATCCGAGCTTGCTGCATGCAATGCTAGCGCGGTCGGGGGAGACGCCACTCCAGCTCATCGTGAGTGCTGCTGGAACAGAAACCCGGTTGCCCGAGAGGTGTCTGGCGAATATGGCGCTGCTTATGCAGCAGCGGGAGCGGATCAAGGCTCTCAGGATGATTGGCCCATACGCAGAGCCTGCTGTAGCTTTCTTGAATACCCAATACCGGTCTGGCCTTCCGTTGGACAAGGTTGAGCATCTTCGACTCAGCGGTCCGGCGGTACAACCTGACTCTGCGCACCTGCAACCGCAACCACTCGAGCTACTTGGAATGTCTCCATCTTTGATTCAGCTTCGCGACGTCTCCATCGTCCCGCACCCGGCGCTCCTCGGGAACCTGAAGGAATTCCGCTCCCGTGCGGGCCTCCACTGGACGCTGAGCCAGCTGATATCCGCCTTGGACTCCATGCCACGGCTCGAGGCCCTTAGCCTGGAATTCCCTTTCCGTTCGCCGGACACTTCGCCAAACGTATCCGACGACGCTCCGGATCGCCACGTCCTCCTCCCGCGGTTATCCACCCTAAAGTTTATCGGCCACGATGCAGACTCTGTGGCGTTCTTCTCGCATGTGCGGATGCCTCTGCAGGCCGAAGTTGTGCTCGAAGTGCCAACGATCGTCGGGCTTCCCCTTTCTCCTTGGTTCGGCAGACACGTAGACTTGCTCTCTGTGGACTTCTGCCCTGAAAGCACAATCGGCCTTGAGATACGGTTTCAGGCGGGCCTCTTCCCGTCGCCCACCATACCTGGTTTCGGTCCAACGCTCTCGTCGAACTCTGCCAAGCTGCAAATCCGCAAGAGCTTCTCAGAGATGATCGGCGACGTCATTGGCTTCTTCGCAGCATGCGACTTCACCGGCGTCGAAGCGCTGAACATCACGCTCCGCGTAGAGCCGAACATGGAACGTCCGGGAGTGAAGCAGCTCTTCCAGGCCGTGCGGGAGCACTTTCCCTCGCTTCAGCAGCTGCTTGTGGTAGGCGCCACGGGCGAGCAGGTCATGCACCTCGTGCGCACGAGCGATCGGGAGCCGGAGGTTCCCTTCCTACATCTCACTTCCCTGTTCGTCGAATGTCACGAGCTGCAGAAACAGCATCCCAGTGGTAAGGGCGTGGCAAAGCTCCATTATCTTGTCAAGGACGTGGCGGACTGCTTCAAAAGCAGGTGGGTGCAGCATCAGACGGCTGCGCTGGAGAATCTGGCCATCAATGGTGAGCGGATCGACCCCGCGGTACTGGACTTTTATGCTTCGTATACGTGCGGGACGGTTAATGTTCAGGGAGACTTTGGTGTCCCTGACGTCTGCCATGATGTGAATGCGCTGCAGGCCTTCCTTTCGTCGGCGAATCTCAGCCTGTAGATAGTTGGTATGCGTGCTGTGCTATATGCTCGATGACGACGCCACTGCCATGATGCCAATAAAAAGTTGTACATTCACTCTGCCAACTTCAGAGCCGCGTGCTCTCACAACAGCACTTCCGCGTATCGGGTATAAGGGCCAGATAGTATTTGATTCCGTCCAGTTCATGCTACCTACCCGACACTGTAATCTCAAGATAGTACCTCGCAGTCAAATATACATCTTACAATCGTCTGCTCTGCGGTCGCCACTCCGCCTGCCATGCGCCATACTGAGGACAGAGCTCAGAGCCTGTGGCCGAGGTTGACGTGCACGGCCTTGACATTGGTGTACGCGTCGAGGGCATACTCGCCGAGCTCGCGGCCGATACCAGACTGCTTGTAGCCGCCGAAGGGCACCTGCGGTTGGAGGTGGTTTACACAGTTGACCTAGAGAAACATCAGCGCCATCCGTACACAAGGGAGACAGTCGGAAAGACGCACCCACGCAGTGCCAGCGTGCAGCTTGTGCGCGGTCTCGATGGCCCTGTTGATGTCCTGCGAAAACACAGCGGCCGCGAGGCCGTACACGGTGTCGTTCGCCTGCCTGACGACGTCGTCCTCGTCCTCAAATTTGATGACGACGCCGACGGGGCCGAAGATCTCCTCCTGCACGATGCGCATGTCCGGCTTGGTATTAGTAAAGATTGTGGGTTTAATCCAGTAGCCTTCCTCGCCGTGACGTTCGCCGCCGAGGTGGACGGTTGCGCCCTGCTGCTTTCCGGAGCTGATGTAGCCCATGATGCGGTCATATTGGATCTGCGACACCTGCGGACCCTGGTACGAGCCCGCAGCGAAAGGATCGCCGAGGGGGAGGGCGGCCGTACGTGCCGTGAAACGCTCGAGGAATTCGTCGTAGATGCCTGACTGCACGTAAATGCGCGAGCCGGCGCAGCAGGCCTGGCCGTGGTTGAAACTATGTACGCTCGTCGTGACTTTTCTCTGCGATAATTGGGGAAATCACTCACAAGATGCCATGTACCGACCAGTTAACCGCCTTGTCGAGGTCGGCATCGTTGAAGATGATGTTCGGGCTCTTGCCGCCGAGCTCCAGAGTCACATTCTTCAAGTTGGTCCTAGCCGCGGCCTCCATGATCTTCCTACCCACAAGGGTACTGCCAGTGAAGGCGACCTTGTCGATCTGCATGTGCTCCGAAATAGCAGCCCCCACGGTATTTCCGTAACCGACGACAACGTTGACGACCCCGTCAGGGAAGCCGGCTTCTTTAATGAGGCTCGCCATGCGGAGGGCCGTCAGAGGCGTCGTTTCGGCGGGCTTGATGACGATGGTATTGCCGGTTGCGAGAGCCGGACCAAGCTTCCATGCCATCATCATGACTGCGCGACATGTCAGCGGGCGGAACATACGCGAAATTGGAGTGCACGCACGGGGAAAGTTCCAGGGGATGATCTGGCCACAAACGCCGAGCGGCTCGTGGCGGGTGTAGGCAAGCTTGTCCTCGGTGGTTTCGATGACTTTGCCGTGGTTCTTGCCAGCCCACCCGGCGAAGTACCTGAAGGTGCCGACAGACATTCCGACGTCGCCCTTCGCTGACCAGAATGCCTTGCCTGCGCCAACGAATCCAGTCAGATAAAATTATCTTAAATTCTGGAGATTCTGACAGACCATTATCGAGGGCCTCTATAGCAGCAAATTCGTCCCGGTTTTGTTCGAGGAGGTCCGCCAGCTTCGAGAGTAGCTGTCCACGCTCGCTTCCCGGGCACTTGAGGCCCCAGGCGGTCTCGAAGGCCTTGCGCGCTGCTTGAACGGCCCGGTCGACGTCATCGGCGGTCGCCTCAGAAATCTTGGTGATGACCTTTCCGCTCGCTGTCAAAGAGGTGCATGAGACTCAGCCCACAGAGGAAAGCGCGATACGTACTAGGATTGATGACACTGAGCAATTTAGAATATCAAGACCAGTGATTATTCAAGAACGGTAACGTGGAGATGCGGGAGCGGGGAGCGAAGAGGGTGGGCTTACTCGATTGTGCTCCCCGTGCTCCCCTCAGAGAACTTGCCGTCAATGAAGACGCCAGTGGGGAAAGACACCTTTCCCTTGTAAACGGGAGTGTCGAATTCGTAGTCCCAGATAGTTGACATGTTGGCAAGAGTACGAAGGAAGGAAAGCCGGGGGAAATGTGAGACGTGATGAGAGTGTCTGCTTTTGGCTAGTCATATAGGCAACCGGGCGGGAAAGGTTACGTTATATCGGAATGGATCCGGAGAGCATTAGCTTCAGATAGCATCACGACGGTCAATCCAGCATCACCCGCTGCTGGCTCAAAAGAGGCTACTTGACGGCGACCTGCCAGATGCCATGTTCCGGACGGGGGATGATCACGATGGAATCCTGGGACTGAGCATCGATCTTTGATTCTACACATTGTTTTCGGCGTTAGCGAGCTCTGAACCATGAACATATCTGTTCTTTCACACCAACTGATATGGATGCTGGGAAACTTGGATC